GTCTACTTGGAATAAATGCATTGCGGGTCCACATTTTAAGTTTTTGATATGAGGTCTGTGCTTGGAAGAGAGACGGTAGAAATATTACGGGGGTGTAAGGGTATAGTTTAATTAACACATTCAGTGGTACCGTCTCAGTGGAATTAGCATGATTCCAGGAATTCACAAAGTGGTGTTGATCTTAAGAGCGCTAACAACCAACCCGGGCACGCAAGGGTCGAGGAAAAAAATCTTAAAACAAATCGACGTCTCCCTCTTTTCTCTACCGGAGGCTTAACTTAGATAAAATGCCTAATGATCCAGTGATGATTTGTCATACCATGTCGTGCCACAGATAACCCTGACAAAAGGAGTGAAAGCACGATTCTCTTTCCCAACGACGAGGCGAACATATCTATCAAGGGGAAAGAGACATATGCTGAGGAGGAAACAGGTGATAGCCTGAGGATGTCATCTTGCCGAAAAAAGACCGAGTAGGCCAGTTGGGCAATATTACTCACGGTCGTACGTGGTTGGCAAGGATTCAAAAAGTGCAACTTAGACTGGTAACGTCGTAATGGCAACTTGACGGGACAAGCTCTGCCCCTGACGGGGCAAATTCTGCCCCCAACAACTTTTTTTGGGGGGGGAGGGGGGTGAGGTGGGGGTTACACACACTTTGAAGGGAGGAAACTACAAAAAACAGAACAGCTCCCGTGTCATCACTTTTAGAACAAAATGGTTCGGGGGGGGATGCCCCCATTGCCCGATTCCTGGATCCACCCTTGAAATAACTTTTGAATTTTCAGGAATAAAAAACATTGTTTCTGTTCGCTAAGATCAAACTTTTTAACCAGAAGTGAGTGTTGATATGTTTCAGTCGATAATACGTTTATCATCAATTTGGACGGCTTTAATGCTTGTTCAAGTTGTGAGGGAAGCATGCCTTTCCATTGGCGTAACTACGGGGGGCTCCCCCAGCGGATGCCCATGCCCCCGGGTGCCCCCCATTAGAAGTCTGTGAATAATATCCATTGAAATGTTGCTGCAGCTTATTTTCTTGTGGTGCCCCTTGAAAAAGAAATGCACCCCTTGGTGCCCCCCGGGACATTTAGCCCAAGTTACTCTTATGACAGTGGCCATTGAACAACCTGATCGGTCTGGCAGGAGAATATTTACCCCGACATCTTCATTTAATTGTGACTTCAATGATCTTCACGGCGGTAGTTGAGGAACTCTGCGCTTAAGTGGATGATGCTTCCATAAAACCCCTTAGTTAAGTCAACTCCATTGCCAAGATTACGTTTGAGAAGGATTTGGCTTCTTCCGGCCAATTTTGCAGAGTCGCATCCCGGGAAAGCCAGAAGTA